GAAGAGCTCTGGCTAATGACTTAGCCAAAATAAAGTAGCACTGACGTTTGCCAATCACATTCTCTACCTTAGCCCCCGACATAAAACTCCTTTAAGGAAAAAAAAAACCCTAGAAAATTGAGAGACACTGGCTAGCAACTAAAACAAACCAAACAAACAAAAGCAAAACCCCCAGGTTGCAACAGCAGCTTGAATTGGGAATGCCAGACACAGCTGTTGGCAGTTGGTCTCCACACCCTTCTCAATAAACCTGCAGTGACTCTCTTAAAATATGGGAAGACACGATGAGTGTGACACAGCCCTCTGAGTCATTTCAGTTTTCAAAAGTCTTATTGGTTGTTTGAAACCATTTGAGGGCTTATGGGGCAGAAACTTCGACGTGTCTGTTGCTTCCAAGGAGACCTTTCTTGCTTTCCGCAGAGAAGGTTCTGAGCTGGAGTTCGGCTCCTTGGTGCACGTGCCCAGTGGGAGGGCATCCGTGACTGCGACCGGCAACCGTGCTCGGCCGTGGCCACATGACACCTGGAAACAGGCTTGAAAGGGACCTGGCAGGGTGTCCCCAGGGCCCACCCAGCTTCTGGCTGGAGACATCCAGAAGGGGCAGGTTCTCCTGAGATGCTGGGCAACCACCACGGTTTGTCCAAATATGGAGTCAAAATCTGCTCATTATTGCTCATTTGGCCTTTTAGAGCATTGGAAAATAAGATTCTTCTACATGTTTGGAAACAGCTTTCCTGTCCCCCCTTTCTTTTTTAAGGTAAACATCTTTCATGGGAGGTTATTTTTAGACCTCTCTCTAGCCTGGTCACCCTCTACGGGACGTGCTCTAATTTCCAATGTCCTTTAAAAATATCCAGTTCCCACAACTGAAAACAGAGTTTCAAAAGGAGGGTTTGGTTGCCTGTGTGAGGGAAGACCATTGGTGACAGGAGTGTCCCCTCATGGCCCCCATGCCTACTTTCTCTTCCAAGGTCTCAAGTCTCCAGAACCCAGGGTGTCTTACCCTGTATTCCGTATGGGGTGGTGTGAAATAAAACAGAAACCCATAGCGGGTGGGACAGAAAGGTAAGGTCCAGAGACTTTTCAGTTTTGCCAAGTGCTTTATGCCCATTGCTCCCTGGGCATCTGCAAAAGAATGGAATGCTTCCCCTGGAGGAAAGGCATCCCTGCTTAGGGCTTGGAGGAGGGAATTCTTGCATTAGAAAGGGGGCCAGACTAGAAAAGGATCCTCCAAATCCACCACTCATTCAAATTATTTTCTCTTTCCTTTGAGTATGTGGGTTGTAGACAAGTGCTACTGTCTTATTCCATGCGAGGAAGTGTAAGTGTAAGAGCATTTGGTGACGCATTTCAGGGAAACGCTGTTTACTTTTGCGCCTTCGCCACAGGCAGGCATGGATGGTTGTGAATCTCTGGGGGACTTTTCTTGGTGGAGAGCTAGTTATTTGGAGCCTGTAGTTGGGGGAGAGGACAGTTAGAGGCCTGAGTCCTCCCACTGTATTGCCGGCTTCCAGGGAAGCTGGTAATTGTTAAAATGACCCTCGGACAGGTGGTCCCTATTGACAAAGACCATTCATTTCCTTTTTTCAAGATTGTGCATTGGCAAAATTTGGGATTAGGGAAAACAACTCAAAACTTTGGTCCTGTGTTTAGTCTGTGTTTAGTTGCACTGCACTATCTGATGAATATAAACCAAACTAGATCAAATGACTCAACCCACCCCAACCAGGTAACCAGTCAACCATCCAGATGAAAACCATGAGGAGAAGGGGTGAGGAGTGGGGAAGGAGAGAAATGGTTTTTGTGATTCTTTTACATGAGTAGCTCTTAAACTTTAGTGCAAGAGTCACCGATGGTGCGTGGCGACTTAGTGAGTCTGGGCTGCAGCCCCAGAACATGCATTTCTGGTAAGTATCCCAGATGACTCTAGTGCAGCTGTGGCCACCCCTTTGAAAGTCACAGAAAGAAATTACCTGGACTGTGTTTGCTGGGATGACTTCCTGCTCCAGCTTCATGATATATGAGTAGATGTCCCTGCTTACTCTCCGCTGCTGGAGCCGCTGGTGGGAAAGGAGTAAGTGAAATTGGGGAAATTGCCCATTTTTGTTTCTGTTCAATTCAAGCAGAGAGTATTCAAGCTGAAAGGTTTGTTTGGGGCTGTACGGGGACCAAAGAGCCAATCGAGTGTTAATAAAGAAGAGAGTTGTCAGTAAGAGATCATTGATTGGGAGCCATCTCCTGAAGGTGCTCCCTTCCCTAGGATTAGACAAACTGTGGATCACACAACCCGGGGGGGTGTGTTTTTTTTGTGAAAAAAAAAACCAAAACTGAAAGATCAGAGTGTACATCATGTCCTAAGTGTAGGTACTATTGTGTCAATTTTTGGTGTGTGTGCACGTGTGCATGTGGATTGGTACTGGTTTGTGATGTATATTGTGTTTGTTAGCATGGCTCATGGTCAAACATTGGAAAGCATCTGCTCTACCCCATAATGACTCTCGGGAGATGTTCTGAGTGCCTGTATTTCTGAGAATTTCCTTGCTGTGTGAGTGATGCGCACCACACTGCTCAGTGGGGTTTGCGTTGCAATGGGCAAGAGCTCATGAAATTGATTTCCTCACCAGACTCGCTGCCCTGCAGCCCAGTGTTAATTTGTTTAAGTGAAGCTGCAGTAGGCAGGTGGAAGACATTGATGCCCATAATAAGGTTAAACCAGTGGGAGCTGGCAAGAAGGCATGCTCCTTTTTGGAAGCGATAGTGCGGAGATGAGGGAATATCAAATTAGACACACTGGAGGAGGACCCTGATTGGAAAGAAGGACCCAGATGCAGGAAATTTGGGGTCTGGTGGGAAGGCTGCCGTGGTAATATAATCAGGATATTGCTGATGTGCGGAGGAAGGCCCCTCTGGGAAGATGCCCTATTTCATTAGAAGAGTACCTTGATGATGCCTCCTGGTAATGGTTGAATTGGAAAAAAGAACTGCAAAACAAAACAAAAATGTATTTCGTTTTCTTTTTTGCTCTAGAAATCAACTGATGAGCCTTCCGAGAAGGACGCTCTGCAGCCAGGCAGGAACCTGGTGGCGGCTGGCTATGCCCTGTATGGCAGTGCCACCATGCTGGTGCTTGCCATGGAGTGTGGTGTCAACTGCTTCATGCTGGACCCGGTGAGAGACCTCGCCGGGGGCTGGGTGCTCGGCTGGTGGCTGTGAGTGACTGTATGTTATGTGCGTGTCGCGGAGGGTAGCGAGGGTACGTAGAGGTGGAACTGATGCCCACGGAGGGACAGAGATGATGGTGAGGGGCGGGACGGGGAAGGGAGATGGAGAGACATTGCACACATCCTCAGAAGGTTGCGGAGGTGAGAAATGATATCTATCCAGAGCAGAAGAGGGAGTCTTTGTTCCAAGACGAATTCCTTAGTGCAGCCATTACTCAGTGACTCCAGGGCAGGCAAGCACGGGCCACGTGAACGAGCGCAGCGTGCTGGGGCAGGCAGGCTGGGGCGGTGGTGGGCGCTGGGGGAGCTGAGAGTCCAGCGGTTACTATTGGGAAGAGGGGCCCAGCTTGCCAAGGCTTCCAGTTGTTCAAGAAACGCGGCATTTTAAAAGATGTGATGTTTCTAGGTGTGTAAAACACTGCGCTAGCCAAGTCAACATGTTTACAGACCAGATGGGGGCTGTAGATGGTCTGTTTGCCTCCCGTTCTATCGATTTCTGGCCTTTCCACCCACCTATTCGCCAAGAGGTTGTTTTCCTGAGGTGAACAGGTGACAGGTGTCCCAGCTGAAGCCCTGAATGACATCATTTCCGCCAAAATGGCCCAAAGTATTTGGTGTGTGTACATGCACACAAACCTTCAGTTAACCCTCGCAGTCATGACAGGGCTTTGATGAACTCAAGGAAATAAAAGTAAGGAAGAAAATGAAGACAATTTCTTAGTCTTGCTTATTGAGAAAAGTTACCTTACAGACAGGAGCTCACGTGAATAATGTTCATCAACAATTTTGATTGGTGGATAATTTCTTCCATATAACCATTAATTTGAGTTATTTATTTGTTCGGTTAGATGACAGTTTCAACAAAGCAGGTAAATTGAGGGAAGTCATCTCATCAAACGCTTGGCACCATGAAACCCACCACTGAAACAGACTCCAAAGAATAATCTTCAATATGTTGGCACATTCATTATGTGCTTGGTCCAGGCTACCAAGGGGAAATGAATTGGATTTATAAAGTTTTAAAATTTTAGCAATGTCCTCACGTGACACTAATGAAACACCATGTGCATACAGTGGTTTTGGCTGGCAGACTGAGAACAGCTACAGACAGCGAGCTGGGACCCTCCGTGGGAGGCGGGCTGCTCTCGGGGAGGCCCGGGGTGTGTGCGGCAGGTGTGTGAGTCAACACGGCTACCTTTGTCCCACGCACTCTCAGAGAGCTGGACCTTCACCTCCTCGGAAGCATGGGCGCTTAATAAACACACAAGGGTAGGGTAACAGCACCAGTTAAAGTCTCCAAATGAGGTGACTTCAGGGAAAATAATGGCAGAACCGGAGCAAAGTTCCATCTGAGCCCAGGACGCAGTTTCGGGAATCACTGAGGTCTGCTGATTTGTGCCTCGCCAGGCTTTTGCTTGTCATCTCCTTACCTGTCCTTCTGTGTCTCCAAAGGCCATCGGAGAGTTCATTCTGGTGGACAGGGATGTGAAGATCAAAAAGAAAGGCAACATCTACAGCCTTAACGAAGGCTACGCCAAGGACTTTGACCCTGCCATCACGGAGTACGTCCAGAGGAAAAAGTTCCCCCCAGTAAGTGAGGGTTCTGGGGTGGGTAGAGTGTCCAGGCATGTGGCACCAGGGCCAGCTCTGGAGGGAGGTGGGTGTCCCCTGAGTGGAAAAGGGACCCTGGGATGAAGGGCCTTGGACCTCATTTGGGACTCTTGAGTTATGTGGAGATCCGTCGATTGAAGGTTTACCTTTGAGGTGAAAGAAAGCAGGGATGGAAGTGGGTTGGATTTTGATCTGCACTGAGCCCATGATTAAGTTCTCATGTAGGTTCTGGGCACTGAAATTCTTGCCCTGAGATGTCAAATCAGAGTGTCTATCTTGGCCCTCGCCACTTTCTCTTGGCAGAAGAAAATGGGGATAATAAAGTCAACCAGATGCATGAGTGCATGGCAGTAAAAGAGTTTCCCTTCTGCGGCCATGGTCCCAGATGGCACAAAAGGTGGTTCTGCCACCCAGGCCCCTGCCGTGTGGTGTCTGTCCCTCCTGGCCTACTGTCCGACATGGATTTATCAGTCGTCTCAGGAGTGAGAGTGTCCGTCTTGGTATCTCTCTAAAGAGGTTACAAATCAGTGACTGTGAAGAGAAGAAATGGCTGATCGTAGAGGTGGCTGTATGTGGCAATATCTGATTTTGTCATAGCTTTGCTTAAAAGCCATTGACACCTGTTTTCTGAGGATGGAGCTCAAGTGTTGTTTGCAGACATT